GAAAATGAAAATATTAATACAAATATCAACTCCAAAAAGAGCTGGATATTTTGTAATTTCATTTTACTATTTTATGTGATTAATTGTTTTATAAGAAAACAAAGTTTTAAAGCTATTCTCATTAGATTAGATTTACATACGTCAAAAAATTAAAACATTCTGTTTACATATATATTGAAAATCTATAATAACATTACTGAGTTCTGCATACTTTTCAGCCTTGGGGATATGCTCTCTAAAGTGTCTAAGGTTTTCCTCAGTTGTACATATATATATATCTTCAAAGCGAACCTATTCCCCTGTAGTAGTTTAACTTCCAGCATGTTTTCTAAGATGYACATTCAAAGAGTCCTTTCTTGCATACCTCATTTCACAATGGGAGCACTGAAATGGTTTATCATTAGAATGCACAGCTTTATRATGTCTTGTTAACATGTGTTTTAAGGTAAACTTTTTCTCACACTGAGTACAGTGAAATGGTCTTTCCCCCGTGTGTATTTTGAGATGACGATTCAACAAACCTTTTAGGGCAAATTTCTTTACACAATAAGAACATTCAAATGGTTTCTCATTGCTGTGTGYAATTATAACATGAGYTTTTAAGCTTCCCTTTGTTAAAAACGTCTTYGGACAACTGGAACATTCAAATGGCCTCTCACCAGTGTGCTGCTTAAGATGTAGAGTTAAATTTCTGCTTCTTACAAAATTCYTTTCACAATGAGGACACTGAAATGGCTTCTCCCCAGTATGCAATTCAAGATGCTGAATCAAATTTGCTTTTTCTGCAAATTTCCTTTCACATTKWGGGCATTGRAATGCTTTTTCTCCAGTATGCACTTTCATATGACGMTTCAGTTTGCTTTTCTGTGAAAACTTTTGTCTGCATTGAGAGCATTGCAAAAGATTCTTGTCAGTGTGGAATTTCATGTGAGCATTCAGATTTTGTYTGCGAGTGAATGCCTTTTCACACTTGGTACATTTGTGTACTTTACAATTGAATGGCCTCTTTATGCCTGAATGCATYCTCATAAAATGATCATCCAAATATTTTTTGGTTGAAAATTTCTTCTCACACTTATCACAATGAAATGACTTTTCTTCAATATGTACTGACATATGTTCACGCAATACTGTTTTTCTAACAAACTTCTTTTCACAATGAGGGCATGACAAGAGATTCTTCTTTGTATGCACCAATCTTATGTGATTTTTCAGAGAAAATTGACGAGTATATGCCTTTTCACACTCACAGCATTTATAGGATTTCTGGCCTGAAGATTGATGTCTTGTRGTGTGAGCCTTGAAAGGTCCCTTGTGGGCAAACTTTGCATTGCAGACAAAACATTCAAAACGTTTTTCTTCAGTGTGTGTTTTGACATGCCGTTTCAAGTGCGTTTTGTTGGTAAATGTCACAGCACAATAAGGACACTTCTCTTGTATATGTGTTTTAAGATGTGCTTTAAATGGGCCTTTATGTGTAAACTTTGTTTCACAAACATGACACTGAAACTTCTTCTCCTTAGCATGGCATCTAAGATGTGTTTTAAGATGTGCTTTAAATGGGCCTTTATGTGTAAACTTTGTTTCACAAACATGACACTGAAACTTCTTCTCCTTAGCATGGCATCTAAGATGTTCGTCAAGCTTTGTCTTGAGTAGAAACTGTTTCATACAATGAGAGCATTGGTAAGCTTGTTCACTCGAAGTGGGAACTCCATCATTGTATTCAATCATGACATTATTAATTGTGGAGGAATCTGCCTGTTCAGGAATATTGCAGCCATCATCTTCTTGATGTGCCTCCAGCTCCTCCATGTATATCAACAAGGCATTTGATATTTCAKTGATATCCTCGATATCCTGGCTTGTCATGTGTTCCTTGCTAACACAATTACCACTATCATCGTGCCGACTCTTAATAGTAGTTAATGTATTTAAGCAGGTGTTAGTGGGATATGATTTGACATACATTGAAGTGCATCCATTATTACAGCCATTGTCATCTGTCTGTGTTCCAATACTACAGGTCTGCTTTAGGACAATTGGTTSACCCTCAATGACATTTCCATGTAGTTCTAAACCCTGGAATTGAAAACTTCACAATTAACAGATTTGTAGATTTATCAACATTTATATTCCTTGTAAAACTAAGAAATATAACCAAATTCACTTAGCAATAAACAATATCGAAAGTGTGAATATTCTTAGGTCGACCATAATATAAACTTACACTGCTGGTTGGCCATCTGTGTTCTCCTGTTACCTTGTTGTAGATAAACAAAGTCTCACCGGATTTACACTTGAAGTTTATCCAGTTTGTTTCCATATCTACACTTCACTATATGAAATGAAATCCAGATCAGCTTACTCGCAATCAGCATTAAATTTCTCCWGAAAAACAGTACCGATGAAGGATTTATCAACGATAAAAAATTAGAATTTTAGATAAAACTTAACTTAAAAGGAACTTAAAAGATGTTTGTTTCCGCATTACCGGTACTACTCGGCCAAAATAAAGCACAGGAATCCCAATCTGATGGTCAGTTTTCTTCAACACAGAATAGAATAGAGTAAATAAAAGCATTCAAACAACCAGAAGAGAGAAGAGTCATCTTATTATATATATAGTGTCAAATGTCGTCCGGGATGGCGTCGTCAGGGTGTGAAAATGAAAAGAGCAGCTTCGAAAAGAAATATCATTAGGGATCCCTGTCTTACAAAACAACCTTCCCGCCAAACTAACGTTTTGCAATGTGATTGGTCAAATATTTACCCGTGAGCACTTGCGCCCTGATCTTCGAACAAAGATGGCGGAATGATTTGTTGAAACTGTCCTGTCATTGAAACGTGTGCTATATTTCATTTTTTTAATGATAGTATTATGAATCCAAACGGTATCGGGGGAGAAAAYAATGAACAGAATATCAACACAAAGTGGTTTACTGAAGGGGTAAACTYACGCTTTCGTAATCTACTTCAATGATATTCCCAGTCGATATGCGTGTCTGTCAGAAGGCTTAATAATGTTCTGATACTTTAGGCAAGTAGACCAACAACATATTTGTATTYTTTTAGGAATATTTATGGAGAACAGGCGCCAGTGTGACATGGCTGATACTATGCCTTCCATGTTTTTTGCTTGTGTTCACAAGCATTGTCTCAGTTGATGTATTTCACCCTTTTTCTTGGATATCAGGTACATTTCTACAATCGTACTTAAATATTATGTATGATGTTTTAGTGATAAATATCTGTAAGATATTATTAATTTATTGTTTATGATAATCATTTAATTATATGATATATAATATGCATTGATTGGATGATTGGTTGGTTGATTTACACATTGAGTATACTTTTGATTGATGATTCAGACATCTTCAACACACTGTTTGCTATTCATTTCTGGTTGGTGTTCATGTTTTATGGAATAATCACTGTATTTCTTGCTGTKGCAACCAATAAATTCAATTCAGGTAAAAAATATTCATTTTCCCTCCAATACACATAAACGTACAACACACTGATACTTGGGCACGTTGGTCAGTCGAACGCATATACATAAATTACATTTGTTGGTGACATCCATTTTTCCACCTTTCCATTTCTCATTTTGTCTATTCATTTCATTAATTTGTTCATTGATGGTGTCTTCCCTCAATGTTCCTTCCTTCCAAACATCTGTCCTTCTATTTCTCCTTTCATTTATTTATCCCTGCCWTTCTTCCATCCATTCATTCACTCATGTTACATAAATTCAATCCTTTCAGAAGACCATTCCTGATCTCTTTCTCCTTTTCTTTTAATAATTTGTTTCATCCAATGTTGCATTATTTAACAACAATAACATAAACAGCATGACAACAACAATCTTTATATATATACAGTATTAGCAGCATACATCACTCTAATGATTATTATTTCATAGTTAATTATTTCTTCCAGTTCAATATGTGGTCCACAAGAACAGGATATCTTCCATTCTTTTCCTTCTTCATCCTTCGCATCTTCTTCATATGCTTCTTTGCTGTTTATTTGGAGGGCTGTCTTCATGGTTCATGCTAGGAGTGCTAAGTAAACCCTTTGATTCATTGACTGTATTATCTGAAGAGTGAGTACTTGTATTTGATTTTGCATTTGGATCTGTTGTGTGTCTTTCTGCCTGTCCTTCTGATTCATTMTCTATGTGACTCCCTCCTGTTTGTTGGCTGTGTGTCTTGTTATATAAAGATTATGTCAAGTTGTTTCCCTTTTCTGTCAGTCTGCATGTATCTGTCGATCTTATTGTCTCTTTGTCTTGGTATCTGTTTTTTGTGATATTTTTTATCAATATCTATCAAAATTATTACTTGCTTTCTAAGGTCTGAAGATGAATGCTTTCTGAATGAATATGGAGTTTTTGTTGTAGTTTTTGGTAGTTGGCTGGTAAGTTTATACTCTAGTACTTATATCTTTTGTATTTGAACTTGACTAGACTAGTTTGTAGTTCTTGTTTAGTGTACATTACAGATAGTCTGTGATTTTTGAGGAGGCTTAATCACAAGAAACCAGAACAAGGAATAAGAAAACTTCAGTATCATTTCTTTTATAGGGCTTCTACACAAGTTTTCAATATTTTTCAAACAAGGAGTTTCATTTCATATTCCCTGCCATACAGGTAAACATTATGATGAATAGTCGATAACAAAATCTACTGCTTAGTAAYAATRGTTTCATTATGGTTTTAGCAAAGAAAATTTTTCCGYGTCAAAGCAATTGCATGGAAGTGCATTTACAAAGCAGTGCTCAGGACACTTAAGGTAAAATMTGGCTCTAYGWAGTGAATGAAGAAGGACGTTTTACAACATTTTGTGAGACAGAAATCTTGATARAKAACTTRCCAKAGCTTTCTTATAAATTGTGTTTTTCCATAGGCTATTCGTTGGTACTATCCATTGTATTATTTATCTGGTAAGTAATTTTATCTTCACCTAAATTGTTAATCCTGGAAAATGTAAGATTTGAGGTCCATAATTTGAATATTTCTTGTTAACTGATCACATGSTGTGCTTCAGGTAATTTTCCTAGAAAGATGCTAGCGACATTTCTGGCAGCTTCAATAGATAGGTTTGTATTTCAATGAAATATAATCTAATCATGTATTTGTCATGTTTCTTGGGTGCAAAGGTGAAAAGTATATTTTGTCTTTCAGGGATACTGTTCCACTGGACACTGTGTCTGGCTTTAAGAGTCTATTTTGTCTTTCAGTGATTCTGTTCCACTGGACACTCTGTCTGGCTTTAAGAGTCTATTTTGTCTTTCAGGGATTCAGTTCTACTGGACACTCTGTCTGGTTTGGTTGATATCAATATGTTTTGGGTTCTCTTGTGTACTGGAACATTGTTGTCCTTTATCTGGGTTTTCAGCAATGTACTGTTTATAATATACAACACACAGGTAATATGACGTGTTTTCTTTCTATCCTTTCTTCCATCCTTTCACTTTTCATGCGTTCATTCAGGCATCCATTTATTTCTCAATTGTCAATCCCTCTGTCCTTTGCTGTCCCTCCTTACATCCTCCTCCCCTTCTCTTCTCTTCTCTCTCTCTCTCTCCAGCCATTCCTCCCTCCTTCCCATCCTCCATTCAACCCTTCCACCCATCTGTTTCATTATGCTATCCTTTTAAAACACAACCTATTTTCCCATCTTTATTTATCTATTATTAATATTATATTTTTTTCTTTGAAGGCCTTTCAGTTTTGTATTGAGTCGTCTCYTGGTCAAGACAAAGACCAGTGTCTTCCTGCTGTGATTAAATCTAAAGACACCCCTTTATTAAGAGTAAGTATATGCCACCATAACACATTCTAAATTATTAATGGCTTTCCTCCATATTGATTTGATGAATGTTATTTAAGATTTTTCATTGTTTTAAACACATTGCATTTTTGTTTATGTTTTCTTTTTAGTATCTTGTTTTCTTGGACCTTTTTCAACTTTCTCAATTCAGCAGTCAAAGAAGAAAACAGATTTTCTCTCTTTCACAGCCAGGTAAACAACAAAGATTGGAATAAAGTCATTTTTTAAACATTATTTTTACAGATGTGATACAAACGTAATTTTAGCTTGTTGATGAGCAGAAACACTTTTTTACTTATATTATACATGTAAATTACTGAATGGACATCCTACATGATCTGCAACTAATTGTGGATATTAATCTTCTGTATAGTATAACAGATTGTGCACCTATGCTTTTACACCTTTACGTAAGTGTAGCATTGTATTTTAGGTGGAAGACCTGCTAATTGGACCAGTATCTGCAATGAATGTCTTTCTATGTTGGAGGACTTTGTAGTCCAGTTAGATTCATATATTGAGTACCAGATGTATCAGAGACAACAGAATGGTGGTCAGTGGCCAAATACCTCTCTCAACAAAAACATAGGTAAATCAGGTTGTCTGTTGATCTGGTGTCATTTTTCTTTCCGTGAAAAAGAAGAGTTATTTTATTATAAGTAAGCATTAGAAAATGAATTTTTTCTGTACACATTGCTTTTGCAATAGACCTCTGCAGCTTTTACGTTATGTACCGTATACGCAATGCATTGTAGGATATGTTTGGGACAGAACATGGCGGATTTCTTTTGTTTTCTCTTGAAATTGATCCCACAATGCATTTAAAAACAAGTAGTGACGTGAAAGGTTCAGAAGTCTATATGACTCATGTTTGAGGTAACCATTTCTAGATTCTTTGATGTCCCCTCCATATTCACCAGCTGGTAGTCCTTTGCGCTCACCACTACAAAGACAAAGACTCTGGTCTTCACATACTGGTATGAAATCAAGCTATGCTCTCTCTCACCACAGGGATCCCATCACAAATAATGACTTCAATGAGAGTAGACCCTCAAGTTCTTGATATCCTTTAGTGATGATTGACAGGAGGTGTAGTCACCTGACTATGATCGCAAAGAGACTTGAAATACTTTCAAAGTGCAGATTTTGTCGGCATCAAATGAATACTAGAGTCATAGTCTCCCTTGGTATTCCTGTCCCTCCCAAAGGAACAGGAAGCCCAACAAGACTAAATCTTCATAACACCATGTTAGCATACAGTTAGTATCCATTTAGTGTGTTTCTGTATTTGTAGKCAAAAGCAATGCAGAAAGACAAACTTTTCTCTCTCCTCGTAACAAAGCAACACCAAATTCATCCTGCAATTATTATACTCCTACCACTAGTCCTAAGGCAGCTGAGGTTTGTTGGATTACAATATACTTTATTACAAWTTTTAGCTTTTATACAACCATTTTTTCATCCATCTTTTCCATTTGTTCATTCATGTTTTCATTCACTTATTCAGTCAATTGTTCATTAATTCATTTTTCTATTCCATCTAAGTCTTTATCACCATGATCGCCGTGTTTGTTTTTCTTCAGGTCAATACGTTACCATGGAGACTAAAACAAGTTCCTCACAATGTACGTTGTTTAGTTCTTTTGTAGTTATTTGCAAGTCTTTTGTCTTACTKTAAAAATACTTTCTTGATTAGTTTGCTGTGTTCATGAAGGGGAGACCGGTCATTGGATACCTCTTCAATGAGGTAAGCAACTTATACCCATTCTGTTTGATGACTAGTTTGTCTGCACCTATGTCCATTTGTACTTTTGCTTATTCAACCATCCATCCATCCATTAATTTATCATTTATTCTTATATTTATAAAATTTTTGATATATAACACTCTTATTGGCTGACAACATTTTTATATCAGAGGACAGAGTCATGGCTTAACAGCAAAATTTGTTTTCGCTCGAAAAACGTACAAAAATTTCATAAAAGAACTATAAAATGGCCGCTTGTATCTCTGTCCCCTGTCCATCTCTCACTGCGCTCGTGTTCCTAAGCTTGCTTCTCTCATGTTTTTCAACTCCCACTGTTTTTATATCAGAGGACAGAGACACGCGCGCCTTTTATATTTCTTAAACAGTGTTTATTGTCATCCTAGTTGCCTGGATATCAAGTAGAAACATTGTTTGTGGATTGTCAGCTGTACATATGGGCTGTGCAAGGTTTGTGATGATTGCTTATTTTAAAACTCCATACATAACTTGCCTGTTGACCGCATGCTATCTCATYAGGTCTCAGTAGACTTGTGGTTGCATCGTTTAGTGAAGATACTTTTGGGGTTGTACAAATGGTAYGTAAATTTATTATTTAGATTTGAAGTGTGACAAAAATGGAAGGTGTTTTCTTTGTTTTCTTATTGATTTATTGAGTTTTTTAATGAATTTCTCTTGTCAGACTCTTCCAAAAATCCTATCAACATTGCTGACATTGTTACAGGTGTGTATGATGTGATGGGCTTCCTGTGCTTTCTTGTTTATCGTTCGTTCATTTATTTTTTCTTTCTTTCATTTTCTTTCATAACTAGACACTTGATCGTTTTGCTAAGCTACCTACTTCCGGTCGATCTGCTATTCAACCCAGGCCTCCTCGTCCACAAGGAAAAGAGGGCATGCGATATAGTCTAAGAGCTGGTAACTAGTCGATTTAGTGTACAATATTACGTTTTTTTATTCTACAGTCAACGTCCCGAGGGTGTCCGTAATAGCGAGAGTTGACTATATATACTAAAATTGTCTCATTGTTCAATCAATTGCAGCTTTAGTATCCTCCATTTATCATATTGCAAAAACCTTTGGTCATTATTTACAGTAAGTAAATTTCACTCGTGGTATAAATGATAATAGCGGAGCACTGTAGATAAGGGATAATGTGAACTTTTGAGTCGGTTTTTTCGTGGACTGACACAGGGTCCCCACCTGTACGAACGTATACCGCAGGAAAATACTAATATCGTYAAAGAACAGAAAAAGCAATGACCAATGGAGCTCCACTATTAGATGTTGGGGGGGGCTACTTCGGGGTAAAAGTACCAGGGATACTCGTCAGAAATTTTCAAAAAGACCCTTCAAAGATCCCGGAAGTCTTGTAAAAGGGGCATGGATGACTGATTTTTAACCCCTAAGAGATTGCGCAATAAATATTGTTAAATTAAATCAGTTCCAATGATAAAAACGCAGAGAAAAATAAATATCGATGCAATCTTTCTCTTCTTTACGACATCCCAAGAGATTGCAGATAATGCAAATTTCCAGAAACTCCAAATTGGCACCCTAAAAGATTCCCAAACACGAAGTTTTACCCCTAAAAGATCATCGACGAGCATCTCTGGTACTTTTACCCCGGAGTCCCCCCGGGTATAAACCAGACAGTGGCGATGCAGTTCAATTAGCGACAGACTGTTGCCAACAGCTTTGATCTTATCGCCGTATGATATCAAAAAAAGCCCCGTGATTTTTGGTTCTACCTCAGTCACATCTAATGTCTTTCGCGGGGTATTTCTATTGTTTCTTGTTTATTCGGGTCGCAACGAAGATTAAATGCATATGTCAACTGATTCAATTTTTTTTACATTTTCCCTGTTTTTCCATTTTAATGTTTCACACATTTTAAAATCAATTTCTTTGATTTTTGAAGTGGTATTCCGCTGACACCAGAGCATCGTGCAAGGCTCAAGGGATTCCTGGAAAATAAAGAACCTTAGGGTGTTTGTTGATAGCCAAGAATACCTAACGAAATTTTCGCCAGGATACAGAAGACCARTAAACAGTTTAAAGATTAGTTTACAGAAAATATAGCAACTCTTGACTCTTAGCAAGAAGTCCACATCGCATCAATCCATCATTGATCGAACACATCAATAAATGTTGAGATATAAAATGCAAATAATGTCCACATCTTAATGATAAGTTAGAAATGTTTTTTTTATTGAGCTTTGGTACTCTGGATTATATTGATCGTTTTCAATCATTCTCATGAAAAGATAAGAGACCGGCGGCCATGTTGGAGGAGTGAGCAATAGATACTAATGAGAAATCCTTTGTTAAAGTTCCTCCAAGATGGCCGCTGTGACGTAACTTTAAACGAAGAATTCCTTTAATCGAACGTTTATTTACTTTGTTTATTTATTTATTTATTTATTTTTTATTATTATTTTTAAGGGGATCATCAGATTGTGCTCCCTGCCGAATTTTGTAACGCATAGTTGCATAATCACTGTGTTCCAAGTTCGCGAATAAGGCTTTTGAGACGCGCGCGCATTTAAAAGAAACAGGAAGCCCAATTATAATACATACAGYAATCATTCTTCCATCTCAGACTGGCCTCAAAATAAAGTCCGCTGCACATTCTTCTACACCGAAAGATCCAGTGAAATTTAATGAATGAGATGGCCTTAACTATTACAAGTATTTAAATGTTTGATCATTSAAACTCCCCTAATTATAAGTTAATGATTAAATTAATTACGTCATCAATCATTAAGTGTTCYATAGCCTTCAACTGGAAAGACCTTTGCGTTAAAGATGTCGTTTTTTGGAATTTGTCGCGCACGTTTCACGACTCTTGCAATAGGCCTKGGGGGCGCGACAATTGCAGCTGCRATAATTGCTTCACGCTACAACAACGTCCTGGCTCGGGATGGGGGAAGGCGCGCCTATGAAAAGTTTTCAGCCATGGCTGACTATCCTGACCTAAGACATCACAATAACTTAATGGCCAAGCACTTRACTCCAAGAGTGTATGCAAAACTAAGGAATCAGGCTACGGGATCCGGATTTACTCTTGATCAAGCTATTCAAACYGGTGTGGATAACCCTGGGCACCCTTTTATCAGTACYGTTGGTCTTGTAGCTGGGGACGAGGAGTCCTACGAAACMTTTGCTGAGCTKTTTGATCCCGTCATTCAAGAAAGACATGGCGGTTTTAGGAAGACAGACAAGCACAAGACGGATTTAGATTCGTCAAAAATCCGWGGAGGAAAGTTTGACGAGAAGTATGTRCTTTCTTCCCGTGTGAGAACTGGTCGATCAATCCGTGGCTTCAGCCTTCCACCACACTGTACACGTGCAGAGCGCAGAGAGGTTGAGCATATTGTAACAGACGCTCTTGATGGATTAAAAGGTAATTCACCAATATTATAGCGGATGAATACAAAAAAGGCTTCTGGGTGCTCAGCAGAGCAAATCTCTTTTGCAGCAAGCAAAAATAATAGCATACTGAAAACTTTTCCTAGAGAAWATCAAACATTTTTTTTGTAAGTCTTGAGAAGTTTTCCTTCAGCAGCATATAGTTATGAATAAAGTTTGAAGCAAATGCGGCCAGGTGCTGCTGTGTAAGTTTGATCTTAGTATTTTACATTAATACGTCTAAGCTTTCGCTGTACTACAGCATCGTCACAGACAGATCAGTGAATGAACCGAACGAACAATATGGTAATAAGGAATCACGCTTTGCGTGTCGTTGCATCTAGTTTCGACAAACCTTGTAAAGGCGTGGTCTTGCGAAAGAGGTGACTTTCCTATCCCTATCAATTCCCTACTATGAGCTCAAGAATTCTCTATCCAATGTAYAGGTGATTTACAAGGACAGTATTATCCATTGAACGGCATGAGTGAACAAGAGCAACAACAGTTGATCGATGATCACTTCCTCTTCGATAAGCCCGTCTCCCCACTTTTGACATGCGCAGGGATGGCACGTGACTGGCCCGACGCGCGAGGAATCTGGCATAATTGTCACAAGAATTTTCTTATTTGGATCAACGAAGAGGATCACACGCGAGTTATCTCCATGGAAAAAGGCGGTAACATGCGTGCAGTGTTTGATCGATTTTGCCGTGGACTTAATGAGGTCGAACGTTTGATCAAACAAAAGAACCACGAGTACATGTGGAACCAACATCTTGGTTACGTCTTGACTTGCCCTAGTAACCTAGGCACAGGACTACGAGCTGGCGTGCATGTCAAACTTCCAAATCTCGCTAAGGTAAAACTGAGAAATTAAATGTCTTTTTATTATAGTCAAATCAATGCTTTGTATTCTTCTTCCACAGGATAAAAGACTGGACACTATTCTTGACAAACTTCGTCTTCAGAAGCGCGGGACCGGAGGAGTGGACACCGCTGCCGTAGGAGGGATCTTCGATATTTCCAACTCGGACCGACTTGGTTTCTCCGAGGTTGAGTTAGTCCAGAAGGTCATTGAYGGAGTCAACTTGTTAATTGATATGGAAAAGAGAATGGAGARGGGYAAGACCATCGATGACCTCATTCCTGGAAAGTAAATCATGGAATCAATAGAAAAAAAGAGACTTCTCGATGTATTAACTGGACTTAACAGTATAAAAGATAAATGTTTATCTATGACCTCTAAATGTCGAATAAAGGAAATGTAATTTCGCACTGTAAAATAAACTCCACGCGYCATTKCCTCATTCAGTACGTAGTTTCTGGATATTTGTAGCCAACTATAGCGTGATAACATGACGAACGCGGTCTAGCAAGATGAATATAGCGGTTAAAAACTTTTAAATTTTATTCTGTTCTAATGATAACCACCATGAAATATATCRAGCACTTTAAAAAAACATCGAACAGCGGTTCATACYGTAAGSAGGAAAAATATGTGGTGCATGAAAAATTCTCCCTACCCTCMWCCCCCAGCAAAAATCAAATGGTCTGTCCATATGAAGGTCTTTTTTATGAACACTATATAGTACCCAATCGCTTTATATCGTTGTGATAAAAAACGTTAATAATATGAATGCTTGATACATTAAATATCGAGACAATCCAAATCACATGCGATTATTCTGCTCTCAATGCACTTAACTGGACAAATATTTGTTAGTACGTGCACACTGTAGCTCCCACATACGAGTAGAAACACTTGAGCTAAAAATATAGAAAGTAATTGTCAACTGAAATGATAAAAGAAAGACGGAAAGATTGCAGACAAGGAAACAAAGAAATAGCCAAAATACGTACACGGGGAAGAAACACTACAGGATCATATTGATAGAARAAACATGTAGACAAAAGCAATATGCTTGTGGTAAAAGAATCAATGGTTKACGATAAATACGATAAGTAAAAGGCGGTTTGTTTGCGAAGTGCGGTGAGCCAAAATATGCAGCAAAATTCGGCGATCCACATGACGTCATGCGTGTAATTGGTCTTGTTGCTGATTGGTTAATGGTACAATGATGGACGGAAAGATACCAATTGAATGCTACCTGTGTAAATTTTCAATTAGCAAATTTTAAACTGTTTTGGCATCCACTGTAAAGCCATGTTGTGTTATGATGGGAATAATGTGACTCACTGTAAAGCCACGAAGGCATGAACCAGGAGAAAATTCCCAATTTCAGAAGAGTTTTATTTTCAAAAAGAAAAATTATTTTTCAAATCATGTAAACTGATGTCTGTGTGCACGTCTGGAAATTGGCCATAGTCAATCTTCTTCGTTTACGATTTCTTTTTGYGGAGACTTCATATGTGTGTCTTAGATAGCTGTATTTTGTCATTCATGGATGAGCTATTCCGGTCTTTGTCGTGAGTGACAGTTCTAGAGTAATACAATGCCCTGGTGGTTCAACTCGAGTTGCTTTGCCGCTGAACTTGAGCAGGCATCAATGGCGGTACTGGAGCTAAGTCACTGCAGCCTCACAACTGTACCTTCGGATATCTTCAAATCCAAAGAAGGAAAGCTTTTAGAAGAGGTTTATTTAGATGCCAATCAACTACGCGACCTTCCTCGAGTAAGAAAACTGTTTTAACTTTTGTTTGAAAGACAACAACTGCGCGGAGCGATGCTATCTCCAGTGTGGTAGCTGCTTCTGTTATGTTGWTATRCTGGTTCTTGTGCTAGAACACTTGCTAACAGGTTTAAATTGTCTTGCATTCGCTCTCTTTACAGGCTTTATTCAGTTTACAGAACCTTCAAGTTCTGAACTTAAGTGACAACGAACTTACGATAATTCCTTCGGCCATTTCAAACTTGGTAAATCTTCGACAAGTTAACTTTAGCAAAAATGGTAAAGYACAATAKCAATTTGACGCATCGTTGTRATCTTGATATAACACCTTAAACAGATATCTTTACTCTCATACTGGTTTATATGTTACCACAGGTATTATTGATCTGCCAGAAAACATCAAAAACTGCAAAAATCTACAAGAGATCGACGCWAGTGTGAACCCCATTGGCAAGTAAGACTGAAGTAATTGGATGAATTGTTATGCCCCTCGGTCTACTACCGCGATTATTGATTCATAAAACCAATTACTTTAATTTTGCTCAAGCCTAATAAGTCTTTACTCTCAACGTGAACTAAAATGTAGCCGTAATGTCTCTGCAAATAGAAAGAACGTTTGATCACCAATAGCGTTCGAATTCGAGAATGTCAATTKCAATGTTGGTTTTCCGTCTGACAGATTAGCTTTGCTAGTGTTTATATATTTATATTAGAACAGAATATTAAGCAGATTTTTCCGACAATCATTGTTTGGAGATAAACAAGACACCTCAAATTTTTAAAGAAGCAAAAGAAAATATTATCGAGTGATGTACAAAATTGTCTGCATAGCGTACTGTAGAAAAAAATGAAATCCGGTGAAAAAACTCTATTCTCATTTTTCTTGACTTAGGATTTACTAGACATTGTATTCAATTTTTCTCTTTGACAAGCTTAATTACTGTGAATTTATCAGAAACAATTGCCTTAGGAAATTTTATTTCCCCTACTAAATAACTGTAATTTTTATTCAAATTTTTTTTCTGGTGTTTTTGTTCAATAATTCACAAGCAGACATTTATGTCCAGCTTTTACAATAAAGCACATTTTAATTGGAACACCATAATACTAACAATCAAGCACAAATATATTTATAGATTTTTTTCCCATTTCTTTTCATATTTCCCATTTACTGATGAGCAAAATTGCAATTTCTTTTAAGTTCATGTGTACATTTACAACCTAAATAAATCACAGTTCTTCTTGAATAATAGACACTTGAGGCCACTTAAACTAAACTAACATGAATTGTTACATTTACCCAAGCATTAAAACATTTTCTTTTATGTTTGGACAGCTCAATTTTCATGTTCGTCTGTAAACAAGGAAGCTCTCATTACTAGCTCKATAATTATTATTTCTCTTTCCAATCAAGATTATATTAAAAGCAAGAATTTCCTATTATTTTCACTCATTATATTACATTCTATTATCATCTCAAAATTGCTGATTGCTATTTGGGTAGTAATGTAGTCTCGTTTTTATACAATCAGTTCACTCTTTTCTCAAATTCAAATTTATAATCCCTTCAGTTTTGCCTCAGGCTTGTATATCTCAATTTCCTTTTCTAATCTAAACATTTTTATAGAATGAACTCACATGCTTTCAAAAAAATCTTGATTATGTTTTTTTCTTTCTTTCTTTCTTTTTTTTTCATGTGTGAGGTGTGAGTTGATTAATTAAGTTGGTCCCTGTCCTTCACAAACAATGAGGTGTCGCTAAATGCAAGGAATATACAGTAAAATGTGATTTAAAGCAAAAGAAGGATTCTTATCTCTCTATTTTAAACATATTCTTTACAATAGTTTATCATGTAAAATTTTTTTACCGTTTCCCTCCAACTTCTCAGTTTTCTAAATTACTTGTTTGTTTGTTTCAGAGGTAGTTTATTATATCTGTTTTACAAGAACATTTCTCCCATTCCATGTATAATAGTGTAACCTTTTCAATACATACAGTTTTTTTATAGTTGAGGCAGTTAGTTTCTTTTATACCTTACACTTGTACATGATTATTGATTGCACTAATTCCATCTCCAGAGGATGCTCCTAAACATAGTATTTGCTCTTGTGTGCAGGTGGCTCCTGGGCTATCTGATTTGCAATCATGATAACAATTATAGTAACTTAAATGTGATAACAAGAATATTTTTGTTGTATTTTTTGTAGGATTTCAGAAGGTGTCAGCCAGTTATTRAACTTAACCCACCTGTATCTCAATGATGCTTTCATAGACTTTCTACCTGGAAATTTTGGAAGGTAAAAAATTCATTCATTTTCATTTGCTCATTCTTTCATTATTTCATTTGTCCATCTTTCATTAATCTCTCCATCTTTTTCATTCATTATTTCATTTGATCATTCATTCATCGATTCATTTTCCATCCATTCATTAATCTTTGAATCCTTCAATCTACCCATTCTTTCACCATTCATTTAATTTTTATTTACCATTTTATAATTTTATTGTATTTTTGTCTGTTTTTCAGACTTGGAAAATTACAAATTTTGGAATTGCGTGACAATCATCTGAGGGTGCTTCCCAAGTAAAGAACTCTTCTCAATTTCATTAGTTTTAATGTTTTTCCATATTGAATGACATTGTTTTTTAACCCGATCAACCTGCAAGCAAAAACTTTAGCACAACAAGAGAATATGAAATGATTTTTTAATCCATAATTCTATTTATAAATTACCAGAAGTGCTAAATATTGGTCATCAGTAATGCGAGAATAGGCAATGTGCAGTGATGGCATTTTGTGCAGCAAAGCGTGATGGTATTTGTTGTAGAAAATACCATCGCTGTACATTGCCTATTGACATCAGTAATGCGAGAGTTGACAGACATGTAAATGATAGTCACTTGTTGGTACCTGTAYATTTTGGCAAGTTTTCACAAGCCAGGGATTGAATAGCTATGATATTGATGATGTACAATTGATATTTATCTTATTCATAAAGGTCTATGGCACAGCTTTCAAAATTGGAACGWCTTGACATTGGAAGCAATGAATTYGTAGAAATGGTAAAAAAGATGTGCAATATTCATTGTAAACATTCATGAYGTTTGTTYATTTTGATYCTGTCTTAATGCAGCCTGCAGTTGTTGGGTGTTTGCTTAGCCTGAAGGAACTCTGGATAGACTCAAACTCTATTAAAGAGCTTAAACCRGTAAGTTACTGTAGTTGTAGCAAAGCTACTTTGTATCTTTTGACWAGCCTGCWTAGCCAGGYGTTCCTAGCYGCTCAAGAGAGTTTGGACTGGAGTTTGGTTTCTCYTGGAGYGGCTAGGAACGCCTGGCTAYGCAGGCTAGTCAAAAGATCTTTTGACTATTACAATCTTTGACTAATTAATTTTTGACTAATTAATTTCCCATTGATCAATATCCATTGTCTRCAGCACCAAAAAAGCTGCAAAGGTTTTGTTGTTTGAATAAGTATATATATTATACTTATCRCCTTAACCCGACACGGGCACCATACAATAACAWAGTTTAAGTTCAATTATGAAACTCTTTATCCCTCCTAGCGTGACGTCTCCTTCTTCTATTCTTCKTCTATTCTATATTTCTATTACACATTGCAGATTTTATTTGATATGTTTGCTTTCTTGTTGTATTTAATATGTCATTAATGGTGTTCTCATTGTAGGAAATAGGACTGCTGAGGCAGCTTGTATTTTTGGACRTRTCAAAGAACAGGCTAGAGTGGCTCCCCCCTGAAATCGAATCACTTCAGTCATTAACTGATCTTCATCTTTCTAACAAYTTATTGATTGAGCTGCCCGAGCAAATAGGTATGTAGAATTTACATTTTATGATGATTGGGTGGGAAAGTAGTTTGATAAAGACTCCCAGTTTAGCATTAGCTAATATATTGGTTTCTCCAGATTTTAGTGTAAAAATTATACTGCTAGCCTTCATCTCTAATGTCAGAAATAGGAAAATATTAATTTTGTACATTTTGTCCAATTGCAATATCTTCAATAACTTGGAATATTTGTTTTGTCAGGTTTTCTCAGTAGCCTTCAAACTCTGAAACTAGATGAAAATCACTTAGGGGAACTACCAAGTGGCATAGGAAGGTACTTATTGTA